GTTTGCGATCGGCTCTTCACAATGCAACTTTGATGGGGGGATGGGGGGGGGGGGGCTGAGGGCAATTTTTGGACAACTTCTGGGCAACTTTATTATTTCCAGGAATCCGAGTATCTCAAGCGCAGGGAAACCTCAAGCCTGCAGCTTGATCACATTCTTTCACGCCGAATCCATCGGATCATCCAGCGCTGGAGCGTTGCGACAATTTCGGCGCACTTCCTCTGCAGTCTCGCCGAGCGTCCGTCGCAAGAAACCTCTCGCATCGGCGTGCCGCAGACCATCTGGGCAGGCCGTGCCGAACAGCGCATGAACGCCACAAGCGCCGCCCTGGCCGCTGGCGGGCAGCTTTCGATACCGACGGTTTACCAGCGCCCGCGCTTTCTCGGGAAGGCACGGCCCGTCACCCATGATGAGAGGGCCGCCGTCACGATACAGCCAAGCACTCGCGCTCTCGCTGCTGCTTGCCGCCGGCGCCGCATTCTTGCCGCCGCGACTGGCGCCAGCCGCGTAACGTCGCCGCGGGGCCCGCGCCAGATCTCCCTCCAACCCGCTCAACGAGCCGCGCCCACGCGCGACGCGAGCTACGTGTCCTTCAGACAGCCAAACGGCAGACCCGACGCAGCGGCCATCTGCATCACCAAGCCGCCACCTCCGACGGCTCCCTCCTCCAGAAGATCCGCGACGTTTCCTGCCTCGTAAACCCACGCGAAAGCCTTCTGCTGGCACAGCCACCGCTGGACCGCGTCCACGTTCTGCTTTGGCACCGGATCCGCCCCGCCCGCACCCGACCATGTATGGTTGGGGCACTCTCTCGCAAAAAAACGCAAAACTTCTCGGCGCCAACGACCGCGCTGCATGCGCGCTACGGCACCTTGCAAGCACTTGTCCCCCCAAGGCTCCACGGTTGCTTCGTCTGCCGCCTGGGTCGCCACAGAGGTCGTCCGCGCGCAGGACACGTGCGCCGTCCACGCGACAACAACCAGTAGAATCCCATCACCCACTGTCCCGAAGGGCACGCCACCGCTCCTTGCGCACATCGCGACGCCCTCGCCCCACTCGTGGCCGCCCCATCCCTGCTGGCGCACCTTCCGGTTTACGCCAATCCCCGGCGAACGACGCGCGCGAGCTGCGCGGGCGCCCCCCGCGGGGCGCTCTTCGCGGCCCGACATCCACGTCGCGATGCGCCGCAACCCACGCGGATTCGAAGCATGCCCGAGAGCGACGAAAGGGATTGCGCGCAGCACGTCGAAGAACGAAGCGCCCGCGAAGTCGCCCGTCTGCCTTCCGGCGGCACTGCTCCCACTCGGAGCTCTCATCACAGTCGTGCACCTGTCCCGCGCCCGAGCAACGCACGTCCGCGCTGCTCGGCCGTGGCGGCCACGGGCCCTTCCTCCTCCTCCTCCTCCTCCTCCGCCTCCGTCTCCCCTCGCGCCGTCCGCTGCGTGGCCGACTCTACGTGTTCCCCGAACCCGCCACGCGCGCCTTCGAGACAGCAATCGCTGTAGTCGCGACCCGTCACGCGCCCGACACCTGCGTTTCCCGGCTGCCATGACCGCGTCTCGCAGACGACACGCGCGACCCTCATCGGAGCCTCGCAGAACCCCCGTCTCTGTCGCTGACGATCGAACCATTCTTGGAACCGATTCGCGTCCCTCGCGGCACGTGCTGGCTGGACCACGCCGAGGGAAAATCCGCGAGCATCTCCCCCTTCCATCGGTCAGGAGACGCGCCTGCGAAGCAAATCGCGATAGTCTTTCTTTTCTGCCGCTCAAGGGGCGCGTCTGGGAACAAATTCGCGGTCGCGTTCCCTTCCTATCATTCAGAGGACTCGCCTGGGGAAAAATTCGCGAAAATGTTCCCCTTCTATCGTCGGGAGGACGCGCCTGCGGAAAATTTCTCGGGAGTCTGCCCCTTCTGTCGTCCAGTGAACGCGTTTCTGAACTGAGTGGCGAGAGGTTCCACCTTCTATTGTTCAGAGGACGAGCCTGGGACAAATGTCGCGGTAATTTCCCCCTTCTATCGCCCGAAAGACGCGCCTGGGAAAAATCTCGCGGCGGTTTCCCCCTTCTGCCGTTCGGAGAACGAGCCTGGGAAAAAAAATCGCGATAGTTTCCCCCTTCTATCGTCCGGAAAACACGCCTTCGGAAAAATCCGCGATAGTTTCCACCTTCTACCGCTCGGAGAACGATAGCGGGGCCTTCCAGAAAACGGCTCCGTCACAGCTCATTCTCGGATGTTTGCAGTGACGCAGGGAGGACCCGGAGGTCTCCGCCACGACACACTCCTCTATTGCAAGTTCAGGATTTATGCAGCGCCGCGGCAAGGCCCCGGAGGACCCCACCACGACGCACCCCTCTCGGGGGACAGGCCTGACACCGGCTGACCCGAAGGCCCATGCAGGAACGCCGGTGTGCCATTGCTGACACACGCCACGAACCACCCCGTTTCCCAGGGACCGGCTTATGGACACCGGCGCTCCCTTGGTTGATTGTGGCTCAACCGGTGAAGCCCTTGGTTGGTTATGGCCCAACCGGTAAAACCCTTGGTTGTTAGGTACAACCGGTAAAACCTTCATTGCCGCGCCCCGCGCCCCCGCGGCCCACCAGGGAGGGCCCGCAGGAGGGGAGCCAGCTGCAGCCGCTCAAGGCTTGAGCCTGGGATCGCGCGGAGGAACTCATTCAGACGCGCACTCCTCCTCTTCCTCCTCCTCTGCCTCTTCCTCTTCTACCCTCCGTTGTCCCACTCTTCACATCCTGATCGTCGTCGTCGTCGTCCTCCTCCTCCTCTTCCTCCTCATCGTCCGCCTCCTTGTCCTCCTCCTCTTTCTCATCGTCCTCCTCCTCCTCCTCCTCCTCCTCCTCCTCCTTCTCCCCCTCCTCATCGAACTCTTCATGATGCTCCTCATTGTAATCCGCGTCGCCATCATCCTCACCATCATCATCATCGTCACCATCATCATCATCATCATCATCATCATCATCGTCATCATCATCATCATCATCATCATCATCATCATCATCATCATCATCATCATCATCATCATCATCATCATCATCATGATCATGATCAAGATCAGGATCATGATCATGATCATCATGATCATCATGATCATCATGATCATCATGATCATCATGATCATGATCATGATCATGATCATCATCATCATCATCATCATCATCATCATCATCATCATCGTGACTGTTTCGACGCTCCCAGAGGGCCCAACGAGCATCCAATTGGCTTCATACCTAAATCCTAGGCACAGTGGTGGGAAGGCTATTCGATAGGGAGGAGTCCAAGGTGCAACAGAGAATCATGACTCCAGAGGGCGAGGCTCAGGCCAGGATGTCTCACCTGAACCCTTCCTGCGTATTCGGAAATGCACCCCGACAACAAACGAAACAAACATACGTCGCTCAGTTGGGGTCGGCGGCAGAGGCGGCAGCCTTTAAATAGATGAATGAGTCAGGGCAAGGTTCGGAGCCGGAGCAAGTGCCGGGAAGGGGGTCGTCGTCGGCGCGGGAGTCCGCGAGCTGGTCGGCCCGGGAGTCGGCGGGCTGGTCGACGCGGGAGTCGGCGAGCTGGTCGGCGCAGGAGTCAGCGAGCCACTCGGCTCGGGGGTCGGTGAGCTGGTCGGCGCGGGAGTCGTTGAGCTGGTCGGTGCGAGTGTCGACGAGCTGGTCGGGACGGGAATCGCCAAGGAAACGCCCCCTCGCCCTCTGGTGACTCGGATTGGTAAACCGAAGCCAGAAACGGCACATAGGTAATCGGGATTGGCAGCGCAGGCGGCAACACGCAACGAACATGTCACGAATGTCGGCTGTTAAAGTTTGATGCCGTCAACGTCTTGCTATGCTAATCCGTCCGTCTGTCTCCACGTGATCGAATCCACGGGAAGCCATACGTACCGTGCCGGGTGCGTTATCTCACTTCGTGGGATTGTTAACTGCCAGACGGCTGACGTTTCAAATGCGTTTGCAAAGTCTCAGCGCCTTCACGAGATGGAAGACGCGCGATTTGTTGCGCCGATCTCCGCAGCCGAATCTCTGTTCAGAATCTATCAGTGCAGATGCCGCAAGATTCACTCATGTCTGCAGCCGAAACCGCTTGGGGTACTTCTAACCCACTTATGAGCCAGGCTGGGGCACACAGAACTCCCTGGGCATCCGCTTTACACCCCCCTATTCCCTTAGCAATCCCCGAGGTCATCCCAGTGTGCTCGCGGCGTGTGCCAGCGTATCAGCATGACTGGCCTTGGCTCGTGAGGATGGCGCCCGAGGCTGAATATGCACTGCAGCGTGATTCCTGCTGGGTTTACTATGGATATCCTTCTCCTCCTCCTCCTCCTCCTCCTCCTTCTCGTCACCATCGTCGTCATCATCAGCAGCAGAATCCTCATCATCCTCATCATCATCCTCAGCATCATCATCATCATCATCATCATCGTTATCATTATCATCATCAATACCATCATCATCAATATCAGCAGCAGCAGCAGCCTCCTCATCATCACCATCATCACCATCATCATCATCGTCCTCCTCCTCAACCTCCTCTTCCTCATCAACATCATCAGCACAATCATCATCATCACTATCATCATCACCACCACACCACGACACCATCATCATCATCATCATCATCACCATCACCATCACCAACACCAACACCAACACCAACACAACCATCACCATCCTCATCACCATCATCATCATCAGGATTACCATCACCAGCATCGTCATCATCATCATCAGCATCATCAGCGTCCTCATCCTAATCAGCAGCAGCATCAGCATCAGCATCAACATGAGCATCGGCATCAGCATCATCATCAGCATCAGCATCATCACCATCAGCAAACATCATCATCAGCATCATCATCACCATGAATCAGCATTGTCGTCGTCGTCGTTGTCGCCCTCGTCATCGTCCTCGACATCGTCGTCGTTGTCATCATCAGCATCCGCGTCCTCCTATTCCTCCTGCCTCATCCTGGCGGCCTCCAACTCCGCGGCCAGGGGGATCAGCTGCCCGGTGGCGGCGCCGGCGCAGGCGAAGCCGTGCGCGAGGGACGCGAGCGCCTGTCTCGCAGGGGAGAAGAGCAGAGAGGAAGGGGGGAAGGAGGAGGGAGGGCCCAGAGCTCGAGTCGCCGCCAAAAGGCCGTCTGTCCCCGTGTGAGGTATTCTGCTGGACTGCGGGCTGCTGCCTTATGTTCTAAATCCTGTGTTCTGTTTTGTGCCTGTTCTCCCTCCAGTCCTACCTCCACGCTGCTGTCTACTGAGTTGCCCGGGACACCCCCTCTCCAAAAAAGGGGGTTCCTGAAAATTCCTGGACGCTCCTGTTTGCCGTAGGATTTCCTTTGGAAGCCGTCGCACAGCCAGGAGTACCGAAGAAACCTTGAAGACAGTCCCAGGAGGCTGCGATGACGACCTCAAAAGCTCAAGACAGCCCTAAGATGACCGAGGAGGGCCCCAAGACGCCCCCGAGGGAAAACACACAGAAAAAGCAGCATGCTTCCGATGTGTTTCGTTGTCCCAAGAAGCTGAAAGACGGCCCCCAGAGCGGTTACCCAAGACAGACCCCAAAAGGCCCCTGGATGCCCCCAGGTCCAACAAGGCCCCAAGATGGCCCCAAAACGCCCACATGATGGGCCCCAGAGGCCTCAAGCTAGCCCTGAGATTGCCCAAGATGGCCCAAAGATGACCCCAAAGGCCCCGAGGCGCCCCCCAGAGGCCCCACGACTGCCCCCAAAAAGCTGTTCCGATACAGGCACGGGACGGCTCAGCCTGGGAGGCTGGCGGCCCAGGGCGCGGCCCCTTCGGACCAACATGACGTGTCTTGTCCAGCTGGTGTTGCAAGCGCCCTGCGCGGTACGCAGACAGCGCCAGGCTCAAACAACGTTCTATCATTGCCACGACTTCTCATGAGGAGAAGCTAGCGGCCGGCCAGGAGGTGCTGCTAGATAGAACAGTTCTGTCAACTTGTACTGAACATGTCTACTTTTTTCATGTGTCTATACAAATGGATGCACTGAAGCACTTATTGTATGCATGCACATCGCCTGCTCGCAGCTCCGACACTGGTGTCTTCCACAACAGTGTGTGCGCACGCCCTTCTGCGCGAAGAGATCATATAGGAGAGGAATACATCGTCGGCCTGGCACGGCCGAATGACGACGAAATCAAGCAGGAGGGGGGGAACCGCTGACGGCAGGTGCAGTCGCATCATCGTAGAGTCTCTCTAAATACCCATGTCGCTGTCGTCGCTGTATTTCTGAAGATGCTGTGCAAGGCGGCGCTGACTGGCGCGGTGCAAGGGCAAAGCCTCGCCACAGCGACTGCGAGTGATGCGCTGGTGCAACATGAAATCCGAACACACACACACACCTTGGAAAATTATACAACTGATAGAAATATCAAATAGTATGCCAATCGAGCTTGCTGAGCATGGAATAATTAATAGGTCAAATGTACGGAAGACGTGCATGATGCGAAACGCGCCTCTGTGGCCATATGTAAGAGCTGCCCTTGGACAGATGGTGCACATCTGCAGCCTAGCGGGAGGGCCTGGCGCCTGACGGACAGAGGAACGCATCTTCACAGTTGCAGATCTAAGGGAAACAACCTGGCCCGGCGCTGGAGGGCCCTGGGTCGCCTGGCGTTCGGTCATAATTCGGATCTCAAGCGGCCGATCGGGACGATGCCAGAACGCTCGCGGCGAGACGCAGCCGCTGGAAGGCACCCCAAGGCCGGAAATCCGCCGAGAACCGTCGAAAACGCCTGAAAATCTAGAACCTCGAACCCTCCGAATCCCCCCACCCCCCTCGAGCGACACGACAGGACCATTTACTCACTCAGCGGGCGCGCGGCGGCCGCTGCCATGTCACCGTGCCAGCTGGGTCTGACTCCAGCCAGTAGTACACGCTGCCGCTGCTGGGGTCGGTGGCCTGCCCCCAGCCCGCCGGCAGTGGGTCGGCGGCGGCCGCTGCCTCCGCCACTGGGGCGGTCGGGCAGCGCTCACTCTCCTCGAGCCTGCGAACCAGCAGGCTCGTCTCGTGGTTCGCGCCGACGCCAGCCGCCTCCATCTCCGCCAGGACGCGCCTGCACTCCGCCGCCTCCCCGTTCCTGACGGCGACCGACAGCAGCGCGTTGTACGCGAAGACGTTGGGCTCCACGGCCTTCTCCTTCATCTCGGAGAACACCTGCCCGGCCCGCTCCGTCGCTCCGGGCCCCTCGTGGCAGGAGACCAGGATGGTGTACGCGATGACGTCGGGCTCGAAGCCGCGCCGCCTGAGGTCCGCAAAGGCCTCTGTGGCCGCTGCCTCGTCCCTCGACGGCTGGCACGCCGACATGACGCACTTCAGGTGGGAGGCCTGCGGAGCCACGCTCTCGGACTCCATCTGCGCCAGCAGCTCCTTCGCCTTCCGCACGTCGCCGGCACGGGCGCAGGCGTGTATCGCACCCCTGTAGGCGATCGCCGTCGCCGGGATCCCAGCCGCCCGCATCTTCTGAAACACCTCCAGGGCCTGGGCCATCTCTCCCCTGTATGCGTGCGACCCGATGATGCCCAGGAAGGTGGTCTCGTCCGCGGCCACCCCCGCCTCGCGCATCTCCTGCAGCCGCTGCTCGGCCTCCTGGGTGCGGCCCAGGCGCACCAGCAGGCAGACGAGCGAGTTATAGGCGGAGGGTGCCTTCTGGGGCATGGACAGAGGAGCAAAGAACGGCAGACGCATGAACTCAGAGCTCCGCGCAGATTTTCCTGGATTGGCGCTGGGACCCCCTGGCGGTGCCTGCGGCGCCAACCCTCGCGCGCTCCGTGCGCCCAAGGGGGGCTGCCCAGCGCCGATCCGAGAAGTCCACACGGACCTTCCAACCGTTCTGCCAAAGCCGCCCGTTCTCTTCCTCGGATGGAGTCGAACAGCAGACTGGCCTGTAGGCGGCGAGCCCTGGGGGGAAGTGAGACGGGCCAGGCCTTCTCAAAGGGCGGCGGAGCTTCTCAGAAGCCCTCGCGCCCTCTGAGAAGCTTTCTGAGCCTTCTCCGAAGACGGAGGCGGCTTCTCAGAGGGCGCGAGGGCTCCTGAGAATTCCCGTCGCTCTCTGAGAAGGCCCTCCTCTCCGAGGCCAGAAACCGCTGGGAACCGACAAAAGCATCAGAACATCTCGAGGCTGGAAAGCCGAGGCTCCGAGGGCCCCAAAGGCTGGAAAGCCGCCGGGAAACTGCGAAGACGCCCGAAAACCTCCTGGGCTGGCCGCCGAGCCTGGTGCAGGCGGTGCGACTTGGCGAGCACGTCCAGGGCGGAGGCGCTCAGGATCGGGTCTGGCTCGGGCACGGCCGCGTAGAGGGCGAGCGCTTCCTCCCAGAGGCTCTGCCTGCCGAGCCGCGCCAGCTCCACGGTGAGCCGTTTCTGCTCCGCGTCCCCAGAACCGTACCTCGAGAGCTGAGAACGAGGTCTTCCTTCTCCTCCTCCTCCTCCTCCTCCTCCATTTCCTCCTCCTCCTCTTCCTCAACCTCCTCGTCCTTCCCTTCGTCCTTTTCCTCGTCCGTCTCCTCCTCCTCCTCCTCCTCCTCCTCCTCCTCCTCCTCCTCTTCCTCATTCCCCTTTTCCTCATTATCGTCCTTCTCCTCCTCCTCTTCCTCCTCCTCCAATGTGTCCTCCTCCTCCTCCTCCATCTCCTTGCGTTGAACAACGCTGGCGTGCGTGAGCCGTCCGGCTTTTCCTCCTCCTCCTCCTCCTCCACCTCCTCCTCATGAACATCACCGTCGTCACCATCACCATCCTCATGCAAATCATCGCCACCATCATCATCAACACCCTCCTCATCATCACCGTCGCCGCCGAAATCAACATCACTATCACTTTCATCACCATCAGCGCCACGACCATCATCATCCTCATTCTCATCATCATCAACATCCTCATCATCGCCCTCATCCACATCATCAACACCATCAGTCATCACAACCATCGTTAGCACCATCAGTATCACCAACACCACCATCATCAACAACATGTCCACCAACATCACGGTCATCATCACCATCACCACCACCACCATCATCCTGAAATGTATACATACACAGTCATCATCATCCCCGTCATCGGCGACCGCATCATCTTCAGCACCACCAACGCAATCATCACTATCCTTATCGTTACCACCATCAACACCATCGTCATGATCCCCCGCCGTCTCCCCCTCAACATCATCACCATCATCATTGCTATCAGTGTCATCAGCATCACCATCCTCATCATTATCAACATGTTACTCCCATCGTCCGTCAGGATCACATCCCAGACATAATTCCGAGCACCCAAACAAATACCGAAATACTGTCGAACGAGTATCGCCTCCCAGGAAACGGCACGCGAGAACTTTTCAGATTCAACATATTGTTGATGGCTAGAATTTTCTCGGGTGGTCAAGGCTGGACCAGGCTGGAACATCATAACGTTATCATACTCGTTATCGTCATCACAAGCATCGCCATCACCACCATCATCATCAAGAGCACCAATATCATCTCCATGACCATCAGCATCCTCGCCATCGTCAGCATCAACAACATTATCACCATCGCCATCACCGTCGTCATTTACACCACCATTCTCGTCGTCACCATCATCAGCCGCGTTACTACAATCATGATCATCTTCGTCGCCACCACCACCATCATCATCATCACCATCATCAACGTCACCATCACCACCCCCGCCACCATCATCATCATCACCCGTATCACCACCAGAATCATCGCCATCATGTTTCAATTCATTAATAATATCAGCAACACTGTCCCCACCATCATCTCGATCACCATCGCCATCGTCATCATCACAGCCGGTATCATTACACAGTCATCACCATCAGCATCAACACCACCATTATCACAACCATCATCATCATCATACTAGTAGCAGCACCATCAGCAATACCATCGCAATCATGATCATTATCGCCACCACCATCATCACCCTCATCATCGGCAATAACGTCATCATAGCAACCATCATCTCCATCGCCACCACCGTCATCAATACCAGCACCATCGCCACCGTCACCACCACCAACATAATCAAAATAATCGTCATCACCACTAACACCATTATCACCATCACCACCACCATCAAACCTGACCAGACAAGAACGGGAAGCGCGCAAGATCAGCCGGCCACATCATCGTCAAGTACGCGACAGCCTTCGCAGGGCAAGCGCCAGGAGCATCCAGTCACGCTCAAGGAGTTCTTGCTGGACGATGTGCCGATCAGCATCTAACGAGCCCGGGCACAAACTGGGCCAGTCAAGCAGCTGGCAGACACACCTCCGAAGGGGCGGAACGGCGCAAAAACGCCCCAAGACGGCCCAAGACGGCCCCAAAAGAGGCCCCGAGAGGCCCCCAAGAGGCCCCCAAGGAACTCCCCCCAAAAAACCTAGAGGCCTCCAAAAAATCTCCAAGAAGCCTCCAAGAGGCCTCAAAGAAGCCCCCACAAGGCCACACAACGACTGGAGCGTAATGTTATTTCCCCCCGTGGGCGAACGACGGCGCAGCGCCAGCCAGGTGGAAGTTGGTTACGGCGGCGCGCATGATTAGAGCCGGCGCTGGAAGGGAATATGGGGAGGGAGTATGAAAAGGAGGGGAGGGGGAGGCCCCAAAGAAGCCCCCAAGAGGCCCAAAGGCTCCCAAGAGGCCGAGGCCCCCAGGAGGCTCCCAAGAGGCCCCGCGACGACGTGACTGTACGTGCTCCGGACGTGCACCCCGCGAAGGGAGAGAAATCCACGTCCGGAAGTGACGCGTTGCCGGAGGCAGGTCGCGCAGCGGAGCGGAAGCCCTAACGCAATGGATCCCATGTGTCCAATGCTTGCATAATTGCCACGTGTTGTATTGTGTTACATTATTATGTCTCCCCCCTAACCCCCCCCGGAGTCGCGCCACTTCCGTCGACCCCAAGGTGGAGGGCCCCTTGTGGGCCTGAAAACCAACAAAAACCAATGGAAAATCAACAAATTCGGCCTCTTGGGCCTCTTGGGGCCCCAGAAAGGTTTCAAGACGGCCCAAAATGGCCCCAAGACAGCCCAAGCCGGCCTCAAGACGGCCCAAGATGGCCCCGAGAGGGCCCATGAGGCCCCGAAAAAAGTCAAAGAGGCCCCCAAGAAGACTCCCAAATCTCTGATGTTCTTATAGTTCTGGGGCAATTTCAACGTTCTCGCCTTTTTCGGCTCTCAGAAGGCCATGACGGCCCAAGCAGCCTCCAAAAAGGCCCCCAAACGGCCCAAGAGGCCTCCAAGGGGGCCCCAAGACGGCCCAAAAGGGCCCCGAGACGGCCACAAAAGCCTCCAAGACGGCCCAAGAAGCCCCCAAGACGGCCCCAGAGGACCCCAAGAGGGCCCCAAGGCGGCCGCGAGAGGCTCCCAAAGTGGCCTCCGAAGTGGCCAGACGGCGTAAGAGCGCCCAACGACGGTTCCAAGACTTCCCCAAGAGACCCCCAGAGGCTCCAAAGAGGGCCCCAAACGGCCCAGGAGGGCCCCAAGACGGCTCAAAGAGGCCCCCAAGGCGGCCCAACAAAAACCCTGAGACGGCCCAAGAGGACCCCAAGGGAACCCCAAGGCGGCCGCGAGAGGCCCCCAAGACGGCCTCCGAAGGGGCGGAACGGCGCAAAAACGCCCCAAGACGGCCCAAGACGGCCCCAAAAGAGGCCCCGAGAGGCCCCCAAGAGGCCCCCAAGGAACTCCCCCCAAAAAACCTAGAGGCCTCCAAGAAATCCCCAAGAAGCCTCCAAGAGGCCTCAAAGAAGCCCCAACACGGCCACACAACGACTGGAGCGCAATGTTATTTCCCCCCCCTGGGCGAACGACGGCGCAGCGCCAGCCATGTGAAAGTTGGTCACGGCGGCGCGCATGATTAGAGCCGGCGCGGGAAGGGAATATGGGGAGGGAGTATGAAAAAGGAGGGGGGGACAGGCCCCAAAGAAGCCCCCAAGAGACCCCAAAAAGCTCCCAAGAGGCCTCCAGGAGGCCCCCAGGAGGCTACCAAGAGGCCCCGCGACGACGTGACTGCACGTGCGCCGGACGTGCACCCCGCGAAGCGAAAGGAATCATCACCATCCTTGACATCCAGATTTATATTACCATCACCCGCATCAACATCATCATTATCATCCTGGCCCTCGTGTTCGCCAGCGTCATTAACATCAGCATCACCACCATAGTTGTCATTTTCACGACAGACATCACCATCACACCATCATCATCACCATCAGCACCAGCATCAACACCACTGTCCTCGCCACCATTGTCACCACAAACATCATCATCTGAATGAACATCACCATCACCTTCCGCATCCTCATCCGCACCAGCAAAATACTCATCGCCAATATCACCTTCATCCCCAACAGCATCAAAAACCATGGTGCAATCATGATCATTGTCTTCGCCACCATAACCATCGTCGTCAGCATCGCCAGCACAATCCGCATCATAATTGTTACCACCATCGTTATCACAATCACCATAATCACCGCCGCCTCCACCACCACCATCATCATCGTCGTCAATAGCATCAACCACATCGCCAGCGCCATCGCCATTATCATCGCTAGCAGCACCATTATTATTTTCACCTCCACCACCATCATCATCATCAGCATCGTCCGAGCCACCGTCATCATCAGCACTCTCACTACCACCGCCAGCGCCATCGCAATCATTCTCTTACTCCGCGCGCGAAGGGTCGCCGGGCGGAGGCCGCGGCCGACGCGCGCGAGCAGGGCTCCGACGGGCGGGGCCCCAGCGCGCGCGGGCCGAACAGCGCCGCTTAGAGGAGGGAGATCCTCTGGCCGCCCACGGACAGCATCAGCGCCCCTGACCTCCGACGAGGCAGGAGAGACAGAGGTGGGGGCGAGGGCGGGGGCCGAAGCAGCCGCAGAC